TATATATATATATATATATATATATATATATATATGCATATATATATATATATATATATATATATATATATATATAAATATATATATATATATATATATATATATATATATATATATACATATGTACCAGCAAGCAGAAATTTGTTTTTCTCCTGATGATGGCCATGTTGGCCGAAACTAGTCGAGGAATCTAAATGAAATAATAAAAAACGAAACAATATTGATATACAACCCAGTGTGTCTGAAGATTTCAATTCTTTAATATTTTTTGTTGTTCATATATATATATATATATATATATATATATATATATATATATATATATATATGTACATTTCATTGAATACAAGATGCTTTTATTCAGTTTTTTGATGCAATATCTCATGCGATCTAATAAGTGTTTTCTTTTCGAATGATAAACTATATAAAAACTGTCCGAATGTTATTTTTATCTGAGCACTTTCGGCTATACATTTAGCCATTTTCAAGGATTAAATGTTTTAACTGTTAAATAAGAAATAGTTTGTTGTATGTATGTTTTATAAATTGTTTTCATTTTTCAAAACACGGTCAAGATATTGTGTCCATATTCAAAGTTAATATTATTGAGTATTGGTTTGTTTGTTTTTATTAATAAAGCTTCCGTTATTTTTAACCTTTTTTGCATGTAGATGATGCTATTATATTAATGCTCTCAACAAGTATGTTACGAATAGTTTCCGCTAGATCTCCATAAATATTTAAATGAGATCTTGTTGAGCTATGGTCAGAAAGGTGTAGAGTGATGTTGTAGTGTATATATGTTGTAGCCTATATAATTATTTACGAATTTTGATTGATCAGGAATACAATTGATATTTTTTATTAAAGTTTCATTAGGGAATCATAAAAAATAATGGATAAAAGTGTTGGTTGAAGTAATACTGTGATTTGACCCAAAGAATTGTGAGTTCAATACCTGGCCACAGCAGAGGTGAACAAAAATTTGGAGATTTGAATTTATAAAGAGAAATAACTGAACTGAGATATTCAGAAAAGTTATGGCACGTGGAATTATAACAATCTACCCCAGTCGACTCAATAAGCGTACAAGGGCCGAAACGTTGTGAATATAATGACAAAGATGAGTACAACAGTCCGAACAATGTAAATAGTGTAAATATTTGGACATGAGTTTTTTTATTTGTTTGTAAGTTTATTCAAGACAAGCGGAAGTTCATTGTTCAGGATTTAAAAAAAATTCTATATTCTTTCTATATTTTGAACCATTTTACTGATTTCCGATATATATTTTAATATACATTGTCCTATGTCTGAGTAATTTCATCTTTCGTAGGCCATTATTAGAGAGTTTTTTTTTGTGTGCTATGTCAATTTCATCATTTTTCCATTTTTCTTCTGCCTTCACACATGAGTTCGTGTTATCGTTTTTTGTCTGTGTGGATTTTTATAATATATTCCATAGAAATAATAATTCTTGGAATTCTGATTATCTTGAAAGAATCTTCAGGGCAGTTTCTCTCTCTCTCTCTCGAGTATCAACGCCATAATTAGGTACACGAACAGATTGCGTAGTTCTTTTGAGAATTATCGTGATAAGGTCTTTTACGCAGTTTCTCGTTCATCTTAATTCACCAGCAACATCTTGATGTGCACTGAATGGTTTAATTACGTAGCAATGTTAGGTGGTAAATTTTACGTCACATCTTGAAATGTTCAGACAACATTTTTTTCTGTAGTTCTTTGTAGCAAAACTGTTTCTTTTTATAACGCCTCATTAAAAAAGTAAACTTAGTGAAGTTACATTATTTTTTAAACCATTTTCATATACAAATATTAATATATTTTCTTTCGTTCTCTCTCTCTCTCTCTCATACACACACACACAAGGTTGCTACTCCCAAGAAGACGTCTTCCCAATCACTACAATCTTAACTTGTTCACGTCTAGGGTCCATAGTTATCTCCCCCACATATCCGCATAATCTGTGACTCTTATTTTGTAAGCCTCTACCTCGTGTGGCTCCCGGGACTTGTATTGAGTGAACCTCACAATAAAAAAACAAAGGAATAATTTAGTCTACTGATGAGAAAAACACACTGATATCCGAAGGTGTATTTCAAAAACTATACAAAGAATAACATATTTTCTTTCGTTCTCTTTTGCTCTCTCTTTCTCTTTGTTTCTTTGTTTCTTTCTTTCTCCCACACACATAAAATATTGCCATATTGAGCTAAGAGTAGCGAATTAGGCCATAGTTGAAAATTCAGTACCGGCTACTCGGTCAATGAATGCCGAATGTTTCCTTATAAGGAAACGGCTGTTATTACCATTACCAACACCAATGCTACTAAATTTTCAATTTCGCTAGTTGTGACTGTTTGGATTACTAATTAATCTAAGTTGGGGTAACTTGGTCTTTTAATGTGGAGAAAGTCAATTCAAAATTGATTAGCTAGATTTTCGCTCAATCTGGTAAACCATGTTTGATTTATAAGTGGACATTAAATGAGAGACCACTTTTCTTTTACAGTCATGTCATAAACTCATCTATCATTTTTCGCCATTGTAGATTCCATATATTTTTCCTCTATTGGAAGCACACATCAAAGATGACAGATTCGTCCTCTTTGATACTAAATCTTGAATGTAGCTATTTGCAACTATTTGGAGCATTAGATATTTTGAAGGTCTTTCGACAAGATGTGGCACAAAGGATTTCTGCTCAAGCTCTCTAGCTATGGAATCACTGGAAGAGTCTTCCCAATAATAAAGTCCTTCCTAACGGGTAAGGTAGTTGTTAACGGCCAGTCCTCCGGGGCGGGGGGGCATAGCAGTCAACGCAGGGGTTCCCAAAAGATCACTTCTCGGATCAACCTTCCTTTTACTTTACATAAATGATCCGCCTAAGAGAATACTGAGATCATTTATGAATAACTATGCCGATGATGCTTCAACGATATAGGGGTACATCTTCAAAACTAGTAATGACCAGACATTGGCAGCTGATCTCTCATCCGATCTAGCTCCAACATCTCAGTGTGTGTATGTGTGTGTGTGTGTGTGGGGGGAATTAGCTGGTTACATTCAATGCCTCGAAAACTGAACTAGCTACATCCCATCACCGCCGAGCGGACTGTTAGGCCTTAAAATAACCGAAGACCTCAAGTGGGACTCGTACATAAAATCCATTGATAAAGAAGCAAGAAGAATGGTCGGTTCCCTGTACCGCTCCAGTAAGAACCTGATTCCTCCTGTTATCTTCTATCTTTACAAGAGCCATGTCAGGCCTAAAATGAGATACTTCTGTCATATTTAGGCACGAGCTGTCCAGTCCTCACGTTCTAGTCTCGATAGATTTCAAAACCGTCTCCGCTTCCTCACTATCATTAGCAAGTTGGGGCTATAATCAACAAGAAGGTTGTTGAGCACCTAGATAAGAACAGCCTCTTGAGCGAAAAGCAGTATGGGTTTCGATCTTCCCGATCCACTGCTGATGTTCTAAATACCATAACACACAGAATCAGTGAAGCATGAGAAAACAAATACACCCCAAGGACCATAGCATTAAATATTTTGGAGGTCTTTGCCAAGGTGTGGTACAAAGGATTGCTGCTCAAGATCTCCAGCCATGGAATCACTGGAAGAGTCTTCTCAATAATAATGTCCTTCTTAACAGGTCAATCCCTGAAATTAGTTGATAACGGCCAGTCCCTCGAGACCCTAGCAATCAACGCAGGCGTCCCCCAAAGGTCTCATCAAGTCTTGGTGGGGAGGCTGGGTAAATATACCTGGAGTTAACCATTAGCCAGTGAGGGTCTACTGAGACGTGGTTATCGCCCTCCTATGCTTTAAGTGGAGCTGTGTTTCTCTTCATTTTAAATGGGAGAGGTTGATCAGGTCCGCGGATCCTAATCCTGCGTCAGCACCTACCCCATTGCACTAAAGAGGTTGGATTGGTATAATACCAATGCCAGCGTGGCAATGGCTGGGAAAAAAAACCTTTTTTGTCTGTCCTTGGCCCATATGCATGCTTATAGTTCTCCCCGCGTTAAAATGACCTTGTGTCACACCCAGCCGGTGTGGGGAGACCGCGTAAATATATTTGAGTGAATGGATAGCGGAGCGGAATTATGGGAGAGATGGCAATAAGACAAAAGTTATTAAGAGCTACAAGAGATAGGAAATTGTGGAGAGCCATGGTCATTTACGTTCTGAAGGCGCACGGCAATTAGAGGAGAAAGAATCGCAGTGCCATGCCACTTATCTTCAATGAAATCTCTCTCTATCTCTATCTCTGTGCGTGTGTAGAAACACGAATGTCTTTGATGACTTTGATTGTGCAAACAGTCAAGTATATTGACAGTGCCAAAAATGCTTCATTGACCCAAAGAGAAACGTAATGTTCTATACAGCGACTAACGTATATACTACCATGCGTAGTTTGACATAAGTAATTTTATGCACGATACACTGCAATGATTGGCGCTTTAAGAAATCGTATTGTTAAGATCAATTAATTAATTTAATGGTTGGGCGTTTTTTATATTGATTATTTTTTCATTGTCTTCATTAGGAAGCAAATGACAATCGATCGGAAAGAACCCTAGATAACTAGGCCATGACATATCACTGTCTGCTTAATATGAAGAGCAAGTTTGTGAAAACAAAGTTAAAAAAGAAGAGGAAGCGAAACAGACCGAGAGGCGGGGGGAAGAGAGAAAGAAGGTAAGGAACTAGGAGTGTGGGGGCGAGTAAATGAGAGAATATCAAAATAGAAAAAAACGAAGAGGTAGTAAGGAAATAATGTGATAAAAAGAAAAGAAAAACGGAAACAAAAAAAATGGAGAGAGACGGGGATGGGCAGGGGGAACAGAAATATTGAGAAATAGTATGTTAATGGGTCAGGGAAACTAAGATACCAATAATAAGAAAGAAAGAAAGAAAGAAAGAAAGAAAGAAAGAACTGAGAAGCATTATCTATAATCTTACATGTCCAGATCTATCTACCTTCATATCTATTTATGCCAGTCTGTTTAAATCTATCTATCTATCTATCTATCTATCTATCTATCTATCTATCTATCTATCTAAGCCAGTCTGTTCATATTTCTCTATCCATATCAGTCTATTCATATCTATCTATCTATCTCTATCTAATCTATCTATCTATCAAGTCTGTTCATATCTCTCTATCCATGTCAGTTTCATATCTCTCTATGTCAGTCTGTTCATCTCTCAGTCTATCTATCTATCTATCTATCTATCTATCTATCTATCTATCTATCTATCTATCTATCTATCTATCTATCTAAGCCAGTCTGTTCATATGTCTCTATCATGTCAGTATCTATCTATCTATCTATCTAAGCCAGTCTGTTCATATTTCTCTATCCATATCAGTCTATTCATATCTATCTATCTATCTATCTATCTATCTATCTATCTATCTAAGCCAGTCTGTTCATATCTCTCTGTCCATGTCAGTCTATTCATATCTATCTATCTATCTATCTATCTATCTATCTATCTATCTATCTATCTATCTGTGTATCTGTCCCTCTGTCTACCAATTTAATTCTGTTAACATTTATTGATAAACTCCTCTTTTAAAATGAATTTAATAGATCGTGCAAGCGAATCAATAAAACTACTGTCTTTTTATAAAATCACACTCCATACTCGATTTTTGCATTGATATTGTAATTATGTCGGCCATAAATGATAACATTCTCTCAACGCTACATTCTCCTGAAGCAAAAATGACAAAGAAAGTCAGAATAATAGATAAAAGCTACTAAAATTTATGTACATAGACGTACACACGTCTACATATATCAGAGAAGGAATTATCTAGATATATATATATATATATATATATATATATATATATATATATATATATATATATATATCCTGCTCGTTCTATTTCACGGAGCACTAGCGCCCTGGTGTCGATATATTTCCATACACTTCCGGTCTAGATAGAAGTCGCGCCTAATTAATGAATGAATATCCTTAAAAAAAAAAGACAGCCAAATGCTAAAGGCGTTATGAATTTAAATATATTAGAGCCAAAAAAGAAAATGACACAAGTGTGGGTGTAAAAGCTCTTGGTGTGAAAGAAAAGAATTCAAATGCAACACCGTTTACTGGAGAATGTTTGATTAGCAAAAAAAAAAAGAAAGTTGTACGATGGATAATAAAGACGCAACACATCGTTTATGAAAAGGTTTCTTTTGAAAATTACACAGAGCTAAAGAAAGTTCAAATTAACAAAGAAAAATTTGTATAAAAACAGAAAACTATAGAAAAACACTATAAATCCATATATAAGAAACCGTGTAAAATCATCTAATTTTGAAAAAAGAAATTTTTTTTTTTTAAAAAGAAACATTGATTAAATATTCGCTGTACAAATGTAAAGCAAAATGTGTTTTACTCTGTAAAATATCTATAAATAGTGTAATGTTATCAAGGATAAAGAATACTATTACAAAGATGGTATATTTCGAGTAGGCGTTTGTAGAAATCCAAATAAATGTATAAATTAAAAGGTCGTGGATTAAAATCAAACGTGAAAAATAATAATTATTACTTTCAAAAGTAAATGTCTGGAATAAAGACCAGACGCGCATGCGCAGAAAAAATGAAGAACTATTATTTACTCATCAATAACGAAGAGAAATCTTTTGACTTTTTGAAAGTTGATAGCCTTCAAAATGAAACTGCCCTCTATTAATCGTCTGAGAGAAACCTTTCTGTCTTCTGTTAGCAAGGCTGATGCTCATCTCCAGGAGTGTGACTCATTGAGATTTATCGGGCTAACGTTTTCCTCTGGCATGAAGTGGAAAGATTATATTGGATCAATTGCTAGGCCTTCAGCTAAGGAGCTTGGTACTCTGTGTCATGCTCGACATTTTTTCTCGCCAGGATCTATTTTATACACTTATAGTTTACCATTCATACATGCAGTTCATATTGCTGTCCCATTTGGTCTGGCGCTTCTGCTATACAGATGTTTGATATAATACAAAGAAAAATCTGCAAAGTTACTGGTTCTAGCATGGCATCTCGGATTCAGTCTCTTTCCGGCCGCCGTATCGTGGTCTGCCTGTACTTTTTCTATGAATATTTCCATGGTAATTTTTCTGATGAACTTTCCTCTTTGGTACCTAAACTTTATGACTTGAAGCGTCCAACTAGACTTGTAACTACGTTTCTTCATACTACAGAGGATGGCTAGATGCAACCGTAAGTTCTATGTTAGCAGTTTCTTCTATCACACTTCTCGCCTGCGGAACTCTCTTCCAGTTTTTTGCTTTCCAGCAAAATTTGATTTTCAAAGGTTTAAATGCAATGTCAATCGTTATCTTCTGTCTTCTTAATTTATGTTCTTTTCTTGTTCCCTCTCTTTAATAATGTTTTCTTTTTCTCATTCTCACCCCCCTTGCGTCTTAGTGGCTTTATTGCCTTGCTTGGGATGAAAGAACTAAAAAATATTTCACAAATTTTTCTGATGGATATATATAGTTGCGTTCCGTGTCGTCATTGACTTCAACCCCTCAGACTTCAAGAACTTAACAGATGGTATTCAAAAAAGACGATTTCCTTTTCTTATTTATTTTATTAGAGTAAACGGACAGATGTGGTAGCATTAATTATAGGAGGCGTCTCTCAGCGTGTGGTCTTAGCCTGTCTCTCGAACCCGGGTCTGGGAAGTGGTATCGACGCCGATTTTGCCCCGTATTGGTCTTATATTCAAAACTTGGATAAAGGTAACCCATCACTGTTAGAATATAGGATGATTGGTCAGCTTATAGCAGTCTGGACAATTATGTGATGGGGAATTTTTAAGCTTAGCTTAGGTGTAGCACAAGGCCGAAAGCATGTGCTATTCAGTCGTAATTGATCTAACGTGATAAGTTTGCTAACCATTACTCCACGTCGAAGTGCCCAAAATGATTTTCTAGGCGCAGTTTAGATGTAGCACACGGTCGAAAGTATAAGCACCCAGTGAGGATCGAACGCACTACTCAGTCATAATTGATCTAGCGAGACAAACTTGCTAACCATTACGCCACGTCGAAGTACCCGTGGCCAATTATGTTATGATCACAAAGCGATTACACAGGAAGAAAATTCTGTATCGCCTGATGATTTGTCCATCTACACACAAAGAATCGAAAATACCTGGTTGCATTTAAAATGATTTTTAAGAGAGAAAGGAACACTGAGACCCCCGCCTCCGATTAATCGATAATATTTGTGAATAGATATTCAGAAAAAAAAAGTTACCAACATCTCTGGAAATTTAATCACAAACACACGGTTGCCCATAAGTTATAAAAGAATAGTTTTATTAGAGACAAAACTGACATGAATCTTGGGACTCTTCTTGACGCATCTACTTAAGGAAACCGCCATTTGACTTTCCTCTCAACCACGCCTCACGTGTTCAACAGATTCAGGTTTGGAAAGCTAAGAGGCCATATGTCTGGGGTGATGTGAGGACTTTTAAGTTTGCTACTGCGGAGAGCGAATTGAGCCGCCGGCCCAAAACTGTGACCTGTGGCACAGCTTAGAAAACAGCAATGATAATTTCGAAAAAAAAATATTTGAATTCATCAATTCACTCCATTGAACTTAAAAACTTCACTTATATCTGATTCGGGCGATAAGTCCAATTCCAGCTAAAAGTCTGATTTAGGTAGGAACTCCGATTTAGGCCGAAATTCCAGTTCAGACCGAAAGTTGAGTTCTTTAAATTACAAACCCAGTAGAACTTCAGTTGAGTTCTTCATATCACAAACGGCTGAAGTTCAAAGCCTCCATCACAAAACCTCTCACTTTAACTTTCATAACTTGGCATTTTCAAGAAATAAAATTGAATGCCTCAGTTCACAAATTTTTAGAAATATCTTAAACTGAATTTAAAGCAATATTTTTATTTAAATTCACAAAGTTTTGTGTTACTTTAAACTCAATTTAAATTAAAAACTTTTAAAATCACTCATTTTTTTTTCAGTTATTTAAAAATTTGAATTTGTAATTGTTCCTTCCTCATCTATAATAATATATCTATGTAGAGAAAGTGTCGCACGAATTAGAGGGTTTTCAGACACATGGGCGGACAGAATTTGCCATTTATTTATTTAGAAGACACGATATTCAAAACAAACGAGAAAAAAGTTCGAGCTATCAAAAAACGTGACTTCAAAGAACCTAGCAACCCTGTATAAACGAAACGGACATATATTAAAGTTTGTAGATCTTAAATTTATGCAAACACATCTCTGGCGTAGAAGACTTTAACCATTTAAAAATAATAGCAATAACCGAACTGATCGTGATATAAGTAATAAAAGTGCATACAAAAATATGAATAATTATATTAATAACTAGCAGTAGAGCCCGGCGTTGCCCGGGGATGTAATAGTAAGAGATAAATCAAGTATCCACCATCATAAAGACTGAAAAATAAAATTGACAAAGATTATTGTTTAAGGCTGACGGACACGCATGTCTTAATTAGTTTTATTTTTTTTTAAATTTTTTACAAATTGATCAAACCCAAACTCAAACAAAAACATTGTTTTCAGTCGTTATGAGTCTACCGATTGAATAGAATTTTATTATAAACAATTGTCTTGTAAATGGAATTTTTAAAGCATTCTGAATGTAAAAAATAAAGAAAAAAGTGTGCAAGACAATAAGAAACACTACCTGCTAAAAAAAAAAAAAAAGTTTCGTTGAAATCGGTTGATAAATGTAGGAAATCCGATCACATATATAAACGAACACACACACACACACACACACACACACACACACACACACACACACACACACACACAACCTGGGTTTTTATAATAAGTATAACTCGATAACTCGATATTAATAAGTATAACTCGATATGAGTTGTCCCCCTTTCATTAATGCCTCTTAATCGTGTTTTCAAATTGGTTTCAAGCAAAAACAATTGTGTTTTCCTAATTTGTGGCACTGTCAGAACCACCGCAAAGTAATTTTACGTAGTTCTATGAAGTTTTGTGGAAATCGGTTGAAAAATGTAGAAAATCCGATCCAATATATAAACGTACACACACACACACATACACACACGCAAACAAACAATCTGTGTTTTATAATAAGTAAGATATATTAACTAATATTGGCGTTCTGAACACAAAGAAAGACTACGGGTTTTGTCGAAGGTCCCAAAAATTGATGGATTTTAATTTTAACTGAAAAAGACGTAAATATTACTTAAAAAGTAATATATATATATATATATATATATATATATATATATATATATATATATATATTGTTTATCATTATTTCTTTCCAATTTTCCCACAGTTAACAGTTTTTCTATATTAGTGTTTGTTTTTGTACTATTAAACTGAAGATTGTCTTATTTTTACTTTCTGTTTTTACTGACGTAAAGTTATATTTATCAACTTTGCATTTTCTACTGTCGTTCATTTTTTATCAATTGAAAGTTTAGGTGCTAGTTCTGTCAAAAACGCAGTATAAATTATA